AATACCAGCAGGGTCATCCATGGTGGGCAGGTTTCAGCAAAGCTTCTAGACTAAGACAGACTAGGAAAAAGGAAGAGGTAGTCCACTGAAGGGGTTAGTTACTGAAACCATTATAAATAGCTGCAGAACATTGTCTTGTAGAATGCTGGAAGTTAAGCCCTTGTGGTCTCAAACATAACAATTGTGAGGATGGCATAGGACTGGCCAGTGTTTTCTTCTGCTGTACGTGGGGTCGCTAGGAGTTGGAATTGACGCCACATCATCTAACAACAGTAACCTTCATTAGAGGTGTCCTAAACGAAAACCTGCTCATTGAGTAACTTCTTGGATAGTTTCATAAACATACACAAAGACAAGACTATTGCTCTATTGAAAAAGATATTCTCATATATAATTTATATCCCCTCAGAAAACTCTTTCTACTGCCTCATTAATTGTATCCTTTTTTCTCGTTGCCCACCCAACTCGCAAATTTTATTTTTGAGAAAACCACCCATACTATAGCAGGATCTAGCTCTGTTATCTAATACCTACTCGATTGCTTCCCCTGATTTCCAGTGTCATATTTCTTTTTGAGGTGCCCTGGTGGAGCAGTGGGTTTGAGGGTTGGACTGCCAAAAGCAAGGTCAGCAGTTCAAACCTTCCAGATTTTCAGCAGGAAAAAGATGAGGCTGTGTCTGCTCCTGTAAAGATTTACGGTATCAGAAACTCTGAAGAGCTGTACTATGTCCTACGGTGTTGCTGTTAGTTGGAATCAACTCAATGGCAGTGAGTTGTCTTTGGTTTTATATTTTCTGACCACTCGAACTTGCCTTTTGAGCTTTACCAGCATCTCAAATTTGCCATATCCAGAATCGAACAGATTATCTCTCCACTTCCCACCTCAAATCTAGCTTCTTTATGTGTTACTTGACTTTATTTATGTCATTACTTTACCTATCTCAAATTCTTACCTTTCTCTCACCAAGTCCTATTATTTGAAACCACTTCCTGGCCTCTGTTGGAATGGCCTTGTCCATCTTTTCAGCTCCTCTCATTTTTTTGGCATTCATTACCTTTCCTGTGTTGAGGAACCTGTGTGGCCTTTTTAAAACTTATATTTGGTTATGATTTGTATTCCTTTAAGTTATTTCTTCTATCCCATCCATTCAGGATAAAACTGGTAAATCCCAAACTCATTGGAAGATATACAAAGCCTTTTTTGAACTGGTTGGTTTTGTAGCCTGTGCCTTCCGCTTCTGCTGTAATAATAGTTGGTCATTTCTTTTCTTGCTTTCATGGCCTTGCATTTGCCATTCTCTCTCTCGTTCTCTTATTTACCTGCCTAGTAACTACTTACCTACTATCTTTTCCTTCTGCTGCTATGGGGAAATAAGTGACTGTGTAGAGCAGACTGCTCATGATCTGGAGCCTCCACTGGTTCACTGGTTGTTAGGTCCTAGTGGTTACACCTTTGTTTCTTTCAGGAAGTGGTTTCAAATAATAGGACTTGGTGAGAGAAAGGTAAGAATTTGAGATAGGTAAAGTGATGACATAAATAAAGGCAAAAAAACACATAAAGAAGCTAGATTTGAGGTGGGAAGTGGAGAGATAATCTGATAATCTGCAGTGTCCACCATTCAGAGTCCCAGAAGGTAATGGACTTTCTTCTAGAGAGTTCAAAAGAAGAAATGTTCACGAAAATGCCTGTGCCTTTATAGAGGCTTAGAGTTTAGGGAAACAAAGCAAAGACTGATTATCACCTTGGGGATACAGAGGAGAAGGAACAAATGGTAAATGGTGCTGACACTAACAATCTATCTCTATGAGGGGTCCAACTTTTGGGCATTCTTTTTTTTTTTTTTTTAATTTAACATGTTTTAGAATTTTATAGTTATTTGCTTAAGGCCTGCCTCCCCACTGAACAATATGCCCCATAAAAGATGGATGCCATCTCTTGTCTTCCCTCCTCTACTCTAAGGTCCTAACACACTGCCTCGTGCACATCTGTGCTCAATATGCATTTCTTTTTTTCAGTTTAAATATAAGGCATTGTGCTTTCCCCTCATTTAGAGCTCAGTTCAAGAGTGGTCAGATGAGCTAATCAGTGTTTACTGAGTGCTGATCGTGTACCAGACATTTCACTAAGACTGCTATATTTGTAAGGAGCCCTGGTAGCATAGTGAATTATGAGCTGGGCCGCTAAGTGCAAGGCCACTAGTTCCAATCAACCAGTTGCTCCATGGGGGAAAGGTGAGACTTTCTGCTCCCCTGAAGATTTAGGAGTTATGGGTGTGGTGTTGTTGGTTAATGTGCCAAACTGCAAAGCCATTTGAGCTGCAAGGTCAGTGGTTCAAGTTCACCAGCTGCTCCTCGGAAACCCTATACAGTATCACTATGGGTCAGAACTTACTCAACAGCACTTCACAACAATAACAACAAAGATTTGCAGACTTGGAAACATGATACAGGGTCACTGTGAGTTGGAACCAACTCAGTGGCAAACAGCCACCACTACCACTTTGTGGAGTTTAGGTGACAATGAGATATTCACCTAGAGTCCCTGTGTTATTATTTTTTTCCCTTGCCTTTCCCTTCACCCAAGCTAATATGTATTACTAACAACTAATATGTTGTTAAGTGCCATCAGACTCATTTGTTGTTGTTATTGTGAAGTGCCATCAACTCGATCCCAACCCATAGCAATCCTGTATAGGGTTTCTGAGGAGCACTGTTGGCTTGAACTGCTGACCTTGCATTAGTATTTCAGTGCTTATCCTGCCACAGAGTGTACAGAACCCTAAACCCACTGCCATTAAGTTGATTCCCACTCATTTGCTTCAGTGTCATCTCTGAAAAACTTACCCTGCTATTTCTCCTTGCCCCCTCCCACGTTGTTTTCATAGGTTCCTGTCAAAATACACATCACACTTCTTTGTGGTTGCCTGTTGACTTGCCTTATTTCATAGTATTCCCTGCTGCTTGAAAGTGAGAGCTATCTGTTATTTTAGTAGTCACAGTTTAGCACAAAAGAGATTACACAGATACAGTTTTATGGTTCTGTAACTCCTCATATTAAGCCACCAGACAAAGGAAAACGCTTAAGAGGTCATTTAAATTTTTATATGAGATTCATACAGCAACCAAAGATCAGAAACCTTGGAGTTTCTCACTTTTATGGGGAATGTACATCGTGATTGAGATATGTTCTAGAGCCAGTGAGGGTTTCAGTTCACACTGAAACAAATAAAAAACAACAATCCAATTAAAAATTGAATACAGAACTAAATATTCAAGTTCTGCCTGTTTTGTTTATCCGTCTTAAAATTATCCTGCTAAAGCCAAGAGACTTCATCTTAAAACTTGATTTTCTTATTTTAAATATGAAGAGGGGTGGTGTACAAAGTTCATGGAAATATGAAATGAAAAGATAATGAAATAACTTTGTAAGAAAAATTGAAGAAAGTATGAAAGTTAATTTTCACTTTTATAAATGACATTTTCAGTAAATGTCTTTAGTGAATTATTCAGAGTCATCTTTCCTCCCTTTCTCCTACAGTTTACTTGGTACACCCTAAAGGTGCATGACTGGTATATATATAGTTGTGCTCCAAGGCCTCATCACACTCTTTTATTGTTTAGTTTAAGGATCATGTAGATAATGGGCCTTTGCTGTGGTTCAGGTTATTGCCAGTGTTTTCCTTTTTCTCTTGACAGTGGAAAACAGGCTTTCGTAAATTTGTTGCTCAGTTCTTAGGGCAATTACAAGCAGTGCTTTCTCAAACCAAACCCTGCATTCTAATTTGGTGATCTGTACAGCCTCCCTAGAGATACTCCAAGTAAAGCCTAATGTCATTTCCTTTTTACTAGTAGATTTTGTGTTTGTTTGAGATACTGAAAATAACTGCTATATAACATCAAACTTGATGCTGTTGATTTTGTTGTCTTTAAGGGTTCTGTCAGGATCCATAAGTAGTATCAGGTGAGCAAATCTTTAGCTTTGTGTCTCGAAGAACTCTAGTTTGTTTCTTGGTAAATTATTTCATAGTCCTATGTTCACATAGGTTGGAACAGACTCCATAAATTAAAGGCCACAATTTTAGATGTGGACACCGTGGGTGATGCAAACAGTTAGGTATGTGGTTGCTCTCTAAAGCAATTGGCAGATTGGGTTTACCCAGAGACACCTCTGAAGATAAGCCTGGTGACCGACTTCTGGAAACTCCGCCATTGTAGACCCTAGGGAGCTCACTTCTACTCTGACACTCTAGGGGTCGCCATTAGTCTAGAGCAACTCAATGAATGGCAACTGGTTTTCAGTTTATTTATGTACCTGACAATAATGTTTAGAACACTCTTGTTTTCTTGTGATGTCCACCTTTCTTTGAAATCTGTCTAATGAAGTTCTTTGACCCTTTGGTGATCAAGAGTAGGATGTCCTCTTTTTTTAAAACTCAAAATATATTGAAAAAATAATTTATGTATATCATGCAATAGATATTAGCCAGAGTTAATAAAGAATGTGTTTTGTATGAGGGGGAGATCCCTAATATTTCACAACCCCAATATATTCTAGTCAATTGTAAAAATTGTATTTTCCCAAAAGTATGATTTCTTTAAGGTCAAGAAGACATCTATGGATTCTTGTGTGGCACTGTAGTATAAGCACTGGACTGTGAACCACAAAATTGGTGGTTCAAGCCCACCAGCTGCTCCTTGGAAACCCTATACAGGGTTGCTATGAGTCAGAACTGAATGGATGGCACTGAATGAGTGTAATGTTTATACCTTATGTCTCCCTTTTTGGTTGAATGAATGAACTAAAACTTGCCTACATAAGGAGATCTGGTGGTGCTGTAGGATAAGCAATGGATTGCTAACCAAAAGCCTCTCTCTCTGTGGGAGAAAGAGAAGGCTTTCTGTTCCAGTTATCGGTTTGAATTGACTCAACAGCACTGAATTTGGTTTTGGGCTTTTAGGACTATATCGCTACTAATGCCATCTATCATTTCTGTTTATAGGTGTTACCATTTAAAGAAACCTTTCCAGCAAATCTATGATAAAAAATATAAGTAACAGAGGAAACGATAACTGTTATTTCTCAAGTGACAAACTTTTAATGCCAGAATGACTCACTTCAGGCGGCTAGTAAAATCACATCTTAAAAGACATTACCATAAGAAGTTCTGGAAGCTTGGTGCAGTAATTTTTTTCTTTATTGTATTTTTGATTTTAATGCAAAGAGAAGTAAGTGTTCAGTATTCCCAAGAGGAATCAAAGATGGAAAGAAGTATGCAAAGCAAAAACAAGATGTTTGACTTAGTGCTAGAAGCTGTGAACAATATTAAAGATGCAATGCCAAAAATGCAGATAGGAGCACCTGTCAGGCAAAGCGTTGATGCTGGTGAGAGACCCTGTTTGCAAGGATATTATACAGTAGCAGAACTCAAACCTGTTCTGGACCGCCCACCTCAGGATTCTAATGCACCTGGTGCTTCTGGTAAAGCATTCAAGACAACCAATTTAAGTGCTGAAGAGCAAAAGGAGAAACAACAGGGAGAAGCAAAGCACTGTTTTAATGCCTTTGCAAGTGACAGGATTTCTTTACACCGAGATCTTGGACCAGACACTCGACCTCCTGAGTATGTTGAAGACAAGTCATGGTTTACTGTTTGTCACCAAGGTTGATAAGTTAAGGAAGTTACTTGTTCTTGAATCACCAGTTGGGGGAGGGGGGGGTCAGCAAATAACTTTTATTTAATCTGCTTTGTTTATTTTTTGCCTATCATTATTGGGGCTAGATATCCTTATCTATGCTCCTTTGGGAGGGTAGTGTAGACGTGGCAAGTTGTTTGCTTAGAAATTAGAAAACCGAAATCTAAATCCTACCTCTCTAGAAACACAAGGAAATACTTTCTTCTAAATGCTTTCATTTTCTCATCGATGAAGGAGAAAATATTGGGCAGTTATGGGAAATGGAGGGAGGTGGCGGAGTTGTTTCTATTCCTGTGTGTATTGCTGTAGAATAGAAAAGTTAAGGAAAATGCCAAGGTTTTGGAACTGTTAGAAAACACTTTATGGGTTTATGAACTAAGTCACAGACTTGGTGGTGACTTTCAGTGCTATTATCACTTGCAGCTATGCTGCTTCCTCGGGGTTTTTACTGATACTTAAGAGCTCTGGTAGCGTAGTGGTTACGAATTGGGCTGCGAGCCGCAAGGTCAGCAGTTCGAAACTAACAGCTGTTCTGTGGGAGAAAGATGAGGCTTTCTGCTCCCGTAAAGATTTACAGCCTTGGAAACCCTGTACAGGGTCGCTGTGAGTCGGAACCGACTCCATGGCACAAAACAACAACAAAGTACTCGAGTTGGAATCTACTCAACGCCACTTGACAACAACAAGTACTCCCTATCTATAGTAAGTGCTAGTGAGAGGCCAACATTCCTTTTTATTAAGTCACTTTGTTTAGCTATTTATTTGTATCAAGTATATTGTATTTTAATTAATGATTTCCCCCAAGTCCTACTTTGCTGACTTTTTGTCCTTTGTCAACCATTTTGTTAAATGTGAGGTAATGCTTATATGTTCTCTTTGGACTGAAATGTCTAAAATATATCCCAACACTCTCAAACCATAGTGCAGATTTTTTTGATTGAACAGCACAGGCAAACTATAAGCAAACAGTGCCCACATAGTTGCTTTCTTGCTACAGCAGAATTGCATTTGGCAGTGAACCTGAAAAAAAGGACTTTTTAAAAGACTTAGCCCTAATGATTCCCTCTGGTTTTTCTGGATTTGTGAATATGAATACCTGCTCCAACTATTTGATGCCCTTAATATTAAAGTTTTTAGGTTAGGTTTCTCTCATTCTAATTTGTATGACTCAAGGTTAAATTGCTCATCATTTTTAAGTGAAAGTGTAAAGAAGCAAATGAGGTTGGCAATAAAATACTCTCACTGTTATAACAGGGCACAGTATAGTTTCTTTTTATATTAGTATTTGTATGCAATACAGCACTTTACTGATTTTAGGGAGGTCTTGACTGGAAAGCAATTCACATTACAAATCATGAAGTGTGATTTTTTTTTTTTCTTTATGGTGTTAGCTCAAGATGAGCTTGTTTTCTGATACAAGCATTGAGAAGCTGCAATAACTTTCCATGTTAATCATTAAGTAACTGACAATCCATTAGCCACATTAAGAATGCTATTTGTTTGTTTTTTGATTCAGAATGGATAATGTAGAGCTGTATAGAATGGGTGAAGATGTAATAGTGTGTTACTTTGAATTAATCTACTCGTGTATCAGCAAGGAACAAGTTTTCTGATGATTTGCTAGACTTTTTTGGGCCCATTAAAGTGTAGATTGAGTTTCTCCAAAATCCAGATGTTCATGTGACTGATAATTTAAGCATATTCCTGTATGTCAGACTTTTAAAAAAGTTTGACTAGAAATTTTCAGTTACTTTGGCAAATTACCTCAATGTGCTGTTTTAATGACATGTGACAAATTTAAAGCATAAATTGAACATGCTTATTGTTTCCAAATAAATGGAATTTATCAAATAATTGGATCCTCACAGAAACTGAAAGTGCGGAGCACTGGAGACTCTAATTGCAAAGGCTGACCACACCACAGTGGTTTAATATAAAGTTCATTTTTATTGAGGGAGACATTGAAAAAAATTAATTCAAGATTAATTTATAACAATTTCTAGCAAATGGATAAAAATAATAATTAATGAAGAACTATTTAGAGTCTCTGCCTGTGCCCACGAACATTTCAGATGTTAAGTATTTTGTATACTGAGCAGACAAAGCAACCAGGATTTAAACTACTTTAGATTATTGATTTTCATTCCATTTTGATTTTTAGGACGTTTATTTGTAACTTTTAACATGAATGTAGACCTTTTATTTTAAATCTCTAAATAGATATTTTAAAAAGAAACTTTAAAATGCAAAGTCTTATTTAGTTAAGTTGTTGGATTATTGGAGCAAAATTTTTTATACAACACATGGAAAAGATGGTAAGCACTTAACTAATTATTTGCTGAATGAATCAATATCATAAGGAAATAGATTTTATGGTAAGTTATTTTTCCTCCTTTTGATTCATGTGTAGATTTAAAAATTAAATAAACTGGAAACTATTATATACTTGGAATAGTAAAGTAATCACTAAATAGATGAGTATTCATTTATTAAAATTTATAATTTTTAAAGTTACAGATAAGAAAAATGTATGATTTCTGTGTGGAAGGAGGAAGAAAATTTGATTTTTGTTTTAATAATGATAAGTATTTGCTTTTTTACATGTTGTCTTACAATTGTCATTTAATGAAATATTGTTGAGAAAGCTTATAATCTTTGGCATATTGTAATCTGTATCAGTGGACTTGGTTGTTGGGTGAATGGTCTGCTTGTAAAAAGTTTTATTTTGATCTATTTACAGTTACACAGCATAAAGATTTCCAAAGTGATTGGAGTTAAATAATGAAAATTTCAGTAATGGTATTGTGAAATTAAACAATAAAGTTAATCACATGGTTCAATTTCTTTGACTTGTAGATGTATTGAACAAAAATTTAAGCGCTGCCCTCCCCTGCCTACCACCAGTGTCATAATAGTTTTTCATAATGAAGCCTGGTCTACGCTGCTTAGAACTGTCCACAGTGTGCTCTATTCTTCTCCTGCCATACTGCTGAAGGAGATCATTTTGGTGGATGATGCTAGTGTAGATGGTAAGAAAACACATGCAGTTAGATTGTTACCTAAGTAAATCCATGGGATTTTATCCAAAGCTTACTTGGTTATATTGTGGTATCTGTATGCGTCTCGGAGTGTAAATGCAATAGCTTTAGTGGTATGTATGATGGGTGAACATAGACTCTAAGAGTGTCCACAGTCATGTATCTTAGTGTGCAGAAATGTATGAGGCACAATTTTCTAAAGTTTTATCGAGTTCAATGTGAGCCATTTTTTGTACCCTTAGTGGGTGAAAACACAGATTTGAACCTTGCACGAGCCAAGCTGCTGTGGTTGAGTCCCAGCTCTGGTCCTAACTATCTGTGAAACTTGGGCAAGTGATTTTATCTGTGTCTCAGTTTGGTTGCCTATAGTACAGGAATAATAACTTATTTCACTAAATCTATTTTTAGATATACAGTTAGTTTAAAAAGCTAGTTAGTTTTAAAAACTAGTTAGTTTTAAATTAACTGTGTATTTTTAGAAAGAAAAAAACAGATAAATGTAAACCAGTGGCCAACTAAACTAACTTGCCGGCAGTTTTAAGAAGTATCAAATTTTACATCTTAGAATTGAGGCATTAGGGAAATAATAAAATTATTTATTATTTTTTGAGAGTAAAATGAGGTAGTATAAATAATATATTAACAAATAAATAGTATAAATGAGTATTTAAAATCACTGAAGAGCTACGCTATTTGGTTTCATTTTGGTTATTTAAAACATTTCAATACTGTTGGCAAAGTTAGCTTAAGTGCTTTTGTCCATTTCCATTCATAATTACAAGTCAAAAATTAGTTGCTAAGTTGTATGTTTAGAATAGAACTTCAAAACTCATCTGACAAATACTTTTAATTTTCAAAATTTTTGAATATATTAAATATTAAATATATGCAGATGATTTCAATGTTTGCAGAATCCTGAATGAGCCCAGATTTGGAACCAGATTGCTAAAGGTACTCGGTGTACCATAAGAAAAGCAAAAAAAACAAAAACACTACCTATTAAGTGACAAATCATCAATTACAAAATATATTCAGATTTCAGAAATTCTCATAAGTGTGAATTAAGTATAAAATTGTTAGCAGTGTATTTAATCATATCTGCATCAATTCTAAACATTCTCATGTTTTTAAATAAAATATCTTGCATGAACTGATGTTATGTTCTTAATTGTTGTTGTTGTTGTTAAGTGCCATAGAGTCGATTCCAACCCATAGCAACCCTGTATAAGGTTTCCAAGGAGCAGCTGGTGAGCTTGAACCACTGACCTTGTAGTTCAAACAACTTTGCAGCCCACTACACCACACCAGAACTCCATGTTCTTAATTAGCATCCTGTGAAATAAAGTTGCTTATTACCAGAGATTTTTTAACTAGAGATGAAACCTAGCCTCCAAATAGCAAATTTTTATAATTCAGGTCCCCTGAATTCAGGTTATACACTACATAACTCTGGAATCTCCTGTATTCTTAACCCAAGCTACTTTATCAACTAGTTTTTTACTGCCGATTCTGTTTTGAGTTTTTATTTCATATTATTTCTATATAGTTGGACCACAGTTCATGAAATTTTAAGTGACATCTCATTAAATTCTGAACACTTCTCATATGTGTCTTAGGAAAAATATCTTAGCTCCCTCTTCTTTGGCTTGTTGAAACTCCTCTGAGGTTATTTTGATTTTGTTTGATTTTCTAAGCAGTATGGCAAAAAGGGCGATACTAATTCCTCAGTTGAAGGTAACTTCTGTTATTTAATTCCACAAAGTATTTGCATTAAAGGAAATCAGAATAAAAAGCACAATTCATTCAGAATCTTTCTGTTTCAGCTATTTTCATCTTTCCTTTTTCTTCCTACTCACTGTCTGAATAATAGTATTTATATCATTCTACCCATGTCAGAAATCCAATTTAGAAATAGACATTTTCAAATAACATTGGTATTGTTTTGCTGTTTTTAAGTGCCATCGTGTTGGTTCTGACCCATAGTGACCCTGTACAGGGTTTCTGAGAAGTGGCTGGTAAGCTTGAACCGTGGATCTTGTAATTCAAACCGACTTTATAGTCCAGCACATTAAGCCACAGTGCCACACCAGAATTCACTGTTATTAGTCTGTTTCTTTTACCTTCAAAACTTTATTTTAATGACAGTGGTGGTTAGGTGGAGTTAGGTGCATTTTACTTTAACCATTCAACTCTTTTCACCTCATAGTGTTAACTGCAGTATCATAGTGTGAATACTGCGATATTGCAATGAATATCCTGGTGTTTATGTTTTTTTCCTTATCTTGAATTATACCTTTGGATAAGTTAGGAGAAGAAGCACTGTTTGCTCACATGGTTTGAGTATTTTTTTTATTCTTTATAGCAATCAACCATGGGGTTGAAACTGTTTTCATGGCCCTGAGCTGTCTTAGCATGCTAGTGTCATGTGATTTATTGACTCAGGCATAAACCTATCTTCTTGACTGATGAGTACACACTGTGGAAAATGTGTTCCTTGCTGCTGCGAAGAAGCCTGTGAAGCAGAAATTATAGTTCCTGATCTCAGTGTATTCAGGAAGAAGCGGAATAAGTAATGGCTGAGGGTTAATGCACTGGACTGTAAGGTCAATTTGAACCACAAGCTCACAAGCTTCTCCTCAGAAATATTATACAAGGTCATTTTGAGTAGGAACTGACTTGATGACACTTAACAACAATAATGGAGTAGCAATGAAAATGTTAAATCCCAATGAGAACAAAAGAGAAGATAATAAACGTTTTCAGCATAGTCCATGTGGTAGGGCCTGTCTTAAATGCTTTACATCTCTTATCCTTGAAGAAATCTACTGGTAAGGGTAGATCCTATTATCTGTATCTTATAATGACACTGAAGGAGCTCTGGTAGTGTAGCGGTTATGAATTGTACTGCCAATCTCACCATCAGCTGTACAAAACTACCAGCTATTTTGTGGGACCAAGATGAGGCTTTCTGTTCCCGTAAAGATTTACAACCTTGGAAACCCTATACAGGGTCGCGATGAGTCCGAACCGACTCCACAGCACATAAAAACAACATAATGACACCAAGGCACAAAAGGTAAAAAAAGCGTGTCCAAGATCCCACAACTAGAAGTAATGTTGATATAAATGGAACCCAGTGGTTCAAATTTTAGAAGTTTGACTAGAAAAGAGTGCTGTGGGTAGGAACTAAACTCAGGAGGCCCATAAGATTATAGAAAGTTCAAAAGTTCTGTGTAAATAAAAAAATGTTTCCTAACAATTTCAAACAGTGAGAAGGCTTATTGACGGAATCTGTACTGACTCCATTTAAAAAAATATCAATCCCCATTAAGACCTTTGAAATGCCTCTATTTTACATTTCTATTTTACAAGTCCAGTAAAGCAGAAAATACATGATTATATTTTTAAAGCAAAATCTTGCTTGTGTTTCAGAGAATTGATTTTGAGATACTGAGAAGATGTTAAAATAGTTAATCTGTTATGCTGAGGCTACATACAGGGTTTAGATATTTATTTTTCCAAGGGTTGTTCCTGGACTCTCACCTTCTCTATGAATGTTTAAACTTTTGAAAAAGCAACTCATATGTACACCCCTGGAGAATTGGAAAAGCATACAAAATCACAGATAAAGGCAAAGTTATCTGCATTTGCTTCTGAAATCTAGCAGAAGAAAACATCTAATCCAGAGTATCAATTGACCTTCTCAATGTCCCCCAATTTTTTTGTGGTTATGCTGTAGGCCCAAGAAGATCACTTGAAGAACGATTCAACAAAGAATTGAGAATTTAATGATTAAAACCCAGACTTGAGAAGTTGTTTAAAAATATAAGCAACACTTGTCATATTTTTCTTCCGTTTATTGCTTCAACTTTTGCTCATTATCACATCCAAATTGGAATATTGTAATTCTTAAGTTACACACCTGTTACTACAATTTTGCCAGTTTTAAACTTTATTCTTGATTTGCACACTCCTTTCCTCTTTTCATATTTTCACTGGGAAAAAAATCTGCTACAAACTTCTAAAATGTCCAAATAATTTCTGCTCCTTGTAAAAATAATCCCACACTCTTATGATCCTGAACCTTCCTACCATCCTTTCTCTCAACATTTTAGTCTCAAATTATTTTTATCACTGCTTAAATATCAGAGACTCTCCTGAGACTCATCATTTGTTTCTAAGATTTCCAGGTTTAAGCACCAATTTTAAAAACCAACAAACATATTTTTGGCTAAATTCGATTTCTTTCATCCCTTAGTTAGTGTTTTCAGACCTTTAAATGAGTCTTGTTAACTGTGTGGGTTCACTCCATTTGATGTTTTTCAATTCCCCCCAAAGGCTTTATTTCTATGAAATTATTTAGTTATATAATTTCTACAAAATTAGCATGTATTATAATGATATGTGGTACAGAAGTTAAGCATGTATTATAATGATATGTGGTACAGAAGTTAAGCATGTATTATAATGATATGTGGTTCAGAAGTTAAGCTTTGCCTTAATGTATATAGTCCCATTTCTCCAGTGGACAGTTAAAATTAAGGCTTAATTTTTATCTTAATGGACGAATGTGTGCAACTCTAAAGATTATAAGTGGGGAAGGATCACTATCTTGACACTGGTTTATTATCTTTCATATGTTAAATGGAAGAGCTAATATTATTTATTTTTGTTCCCTTACAGAATACTTACATGGTAAACTAGAAGAATATATAAAACAATTTTCTATAGTAAAAATAGTGAGGCAAAAAGAAAGAAAAGGTTTGATCACAGCACGGTTGCTAGGAGCAACAGTAGCAACAGCTGAAACGCTCACATTTTTAGATGCTCATTGTAAGTATATATACGTACAAATCTAGTTGTCATGCATTTTCCCTCCCCCTCCTTTTAATTTGGATTCCTGATGTGGTACTATAGGATGAGCACTGGACTCTTAACCAAAGGTAGGTCATTCAGACCCACCAGCCGCTCCTCAGAAACCCTATGTTGTTGTTGTTGTTAGGTGCCATCGAGTTGGTACCAACCCATAGTGGCCTTATGCACAACAGAACGAAACACTGTCCAATCTTGGGCCAATCTCACTACTGTTGCCACGCTTGAGTCCATCGATGCTGCCACTTAGCCAAGCTATAGGGTCACTGTCACTCAATAGCACTTAACAACAACCTTCTAATTTATAAGGCAAGGAAATTTTTTCTTCAAATACTTAATTTTCTCTTCTTTATCAACATCTTCAACTGGTGATTATGGCATTGACAGCCCTGCTTTCTTGTGTGAAGTCTCCTCAACTTTAACATCCTCTAGTTACTGGTTTCCCCCAAGACCTGTGGTTTTCCTAGAAGCTCATTCTGTTTTGTTTTGCTTTCTTTTTAAAGTTTTCCTTATTATTCTGTTTCCTGCACTTAAAATAAAAGAACCCTGGTAGTGTAGTAGATTATAAACTGTGCTGCTTATCTCGAGGTAAGCACTTTGAATCTACCAACTGCTCCTCAGGAGAAAGAAAGATGAGGCTTTCTGCTCTTGTAAACCGACTCCATGACAATCTTAAAGTGAAATTTATTTGTTAACCTTGCCTTAGTACTGATATATATATATATTTAATGTTTTATTGTGAATTATATGATAGTTTACATGAGAGAACTAGTTTTACATTCATTCTTTGCAGAATTTTATGGCTTATTTTCTCCTGAGATCCAATCAGAGAAATAAAGCTTTCAATTACTTAGTCAAAGAGACTAGGTTAATAAATCAGAATACTGATTTTTGATGAGATGATATTGGCCAGCACAAAATTGCCTTTGTTCTTGGCCTATTTTAAAGCAAAACACAGTAGCTGAATCCTAAATACACAATGTTACTTTTACTTCCTTTCTAAGGGGAAAAAAAGTCATCATATGAAAAATTTCCTAAGATCAACTGAATCTTACCCTTTTCATTTCACTCATCCCATCTCTCTCATACACACCTCTTTAAATAGAAATATTCAAAACACAGACAACTTTCTATTTCTGTATAAATTTTAACAACAAAAACCCTCTTTTTTTTTCATTAAATTCAAACTGTGTTTCCTCTAGGTGAGTGTTTCTATGGTTGGTTAGAACCTTTGCTGGCTAGAATAGCGGAGAACTACACGGCTGTTGTGAGTCCGGATATTGCATCAATAGATCTTAATACTTTTGAATTCAACAAACCTTCTCCTTATGGCAGTAACCATAACCGTGGAAACTTTGACTGGAGCCTTTCCTTTGGCTGGGAATTACTTCCTGATCATGAGAAGCAAAGAAGGAAAGATGAAACCTACCCAATTAAGTAAGATGATTGCTCTCCAAGTCTAGCATTTGCTCCTTACAGTGTGGTTATTTAATTATGTATTACTGTTTACTTTTACAGCACTTGCCTCTGAGGTAATCCATACCAAGGAAGTAAAGATCACACACATTCTATATGTAAGGAATAAAAAAGTCGTTTCCTTAGATATTCACACATGATGTCACTGAGTAGAAAACAGAATCAAGTGATTCCTTAGGTCTTCCTCATAATCATTGTTATAAATATTTAAGTTTGACTGGAAGAAGACTCTTAGTAATTATGCTTTGCTAGGAAAAAACACTAAAGTATGTTTGCTTTCCCCTCCCCCAAATTTGACTTTTAAAATAACATTTTTAGTTTTTATTGGCCTACATAAACACTTTGAGATTATGATATCTGTTTAATTTGGTTATGAAGCTGATACACTTGCTCTTAAACAATGCTATTTTATTTTGTTTATAAAAACAATGTTTGGTAATGGATTATTTTTCAGAACACCCACTTTTGCAGGAGGCCTTTTTTCCATATCAAAAGAATATTTTGAATATATTGGAACATATGACGAAGAAATGGAAATCTGGGGAGGTGAAAATATAGAAATGTCTTTCAGAGTAAGTTTATGGAGATAAAATATAGCGCATACATTAAACAATGAAATATATTGGGTTCTTATTGGTTGGTACAGGTTACTATGTGGGTAGTCTTTACTTTCCAAAATCTAATTCCTGGGAAGTCTGGAATAAGAGTGTTTCCTTTAAAAATATAACTTAATATATCTATTTGTTGCTGTCAATGTAAAAAGACGGATCAGTTAAACTCTTGTGTCCAGGCAGTAACACCAATGAATGCACTTGTAGCTACTAAATCCAAGCCAAGATAAATATAATTAAATCCAATGCTTCAGGAAATGAGTTGATTATCAAGGGAGTTAAAATGGAAAAACATTTATATATAATTTTAAAGGACATTGGATTCAACTCTTTGGATTAAATGAGCTGGTTTTTCTCTTTGCACTTGAAAAGTTATTATGAGAAACAAAACGAAGGCTTTGGATAGTCTCCACATGTACCTCATTGATTTGATTTCATGAGTTCACTTTCCTGCAGTTGGCTTTATAATTCTTTTTTTTTTTTTTTCATACTTTAGGCTGGAATCTAGTAGAAAAAGTATTAGAAGTTGATGGTGGTAGTGGTGTGCCATTGAGTCTGTTCTGATTCATAGCGACTTTGTATAGGGTTGTTGTTGTTGTTGTTGTTATGTGCCGTTGAGTCGGTTCCGACCCATAGCGACCCTGTACAGGATTTCCGAGGGTGTAAATCTTTACGGGAGTAGAAAGCCTCATCTTTCTCCCGCAGAGCAGCTGGTAGTTTCGAACTGCTGACCTTAAGGTTCGCAGCCCGATTCGTAACCACTACGCTACCAGAAGAATTATATTTTGACTCTGATCCCATAATATTCATTTACTGACAATGATCATGTTAGCCAAATATGAGCTCCTTAGGATAGTGGTTTTGTTTTATTTGTTTTGGTATTTCCAACACATGCCACATTTTTATCTAAAGCACAGTTTGTTAAATTGTACATTATCACTAAGTTTCCTCATTTTTTAGAAAAGAGGAAAAGACAGCAAGAATATTAATCGATTACTTTCCCTGATACTAGTATGTACAATTAAACATGGCTTCATTTCAGATTTTTTGCTTAATGGTTCTTTCTGGCAAGAGCAATTATCAAGATATTTATATATCGATTTCATGACTTGAAATGCAGAAGAGCCTTTGGTCTTCCTGTGCAATGAGAGTGCTTACTAATTGTTTGCAAAAATAAGTTGTGAATTCAGTTTTATAGAAGATTGGTTTCTTTCTTTCTTAAAAATGTTCTTTTATTGTCTTTCATGCTTATGTAATTTAGTAGAATTGTTTTTTGTATTTAAGAACCTCAGTTGAACTTTCAGGGGCCAGGTATTATATGTAAAGTTGTAATAAATCCATTTTCTCATTATTTTAATGAAAATCTTAAAGGTAAACTTAAAAGCAGCACTTTGATCTTCTTAAAATACTGTAAATTTAAACAAATATCATTAATTATCAGGTATGGCAATGTGGTGGGCAGTTGGAGATTATGCCTTGCTCTGTTGTTGGACATGTTTTTCGCAGCAAAAGTCCTCATACCTTTCCAAAAGGTACTCAGGTGATTGCCCGCAACCAAGTTCGCCTTGCAGAAGTCTGGATGGATGAATACAAGGAAATATTTTATAGGAGAAACACAGATGCAGCAAAGATTGTTAAACAAGTAAGTTAAAGTGAATTAATTAGTTACATAAAAATCCACATTGTGTTTGTCCTTTTGTTTATTTGAGTCCCAAGTACAAAACAAAGAAAAATAATTATTTCTGGTGCCAGGATTTTTTTTGTTGTTGTTTTATTTTAACTCTTTAAAAAATACCCTACGGATGTCAGTTTTTTTCCCTATTTTTAAGGAGATGTGAAGTAGATTGCTTTAAAACATTCAGATATTCTAATCGGTGCTATCCTTTTTTAATATGAAAGATAGTTTTTTAAATTGCATTGATTCAACATTATACTTAAAGAAAAGTTTACTGGTTTTAGGAAATGTAATTAACTCAGCACAGAGGTACTAAGTGGCCTTTTGAACACAGAGATCTAGACAAAGTCATCATAGTGTGGCATGAGAATAACCCAGGAACATCAAGGTTTTTTCTTTCCACCCTCTGCCTCTACTACTCACCTGAGTTGTTACCTTGGTAAAGCGCCCATGAGACTGTAAAATGAAGATAAAACTTCCTAGGGTGGTTGAGAGGTTGTTTAGCAAGCTCCTTCTCTCTTCCCCATCTTCAAGGATGAAATACACCCAGCCTATCTCATGGCATAGCATCAAAAGAAGGAAGTGCTAAGTGTTATCAAGTGTGTGGTACTATTGTTACTGACCTATCACAGATAAAAACTCTGCTAAATCTCAACACCATTGCAGTAGAACTGAGTTCCAGCTGTCTCACTACTGGATGTGCTAAAAGTATCTCAGCTTAACAACATGCTTCAGTGAGTGGACCCTTTGTAGGAGACTGATAATTTGAGAACTGTTTCTTAGTCCAGGATATCAATATTTTGACTGTCATGGTAAAGAAAGATATGATGAAAGTTTTCTACCTTTTCTTCATCTCTAGTGTCTCCCTGTAGCTTGTCAGTAGGAAGCAAACTTAGATTAAAATCTTTTTACCCAGGACTGCCACAACAAATTGGGTAGATTGTGTACTACATCAAAGTACCTGGCTCAGCAGGCACATGGGTACTATGTGCGAACCCCATGCTTTGCTTTTCATTGACAAAGGGGCTAATGAACCAGAATGCAGTTTGTTTGGCTACAAATCAAATAGGCCTACTCAGTATAGGTAAAATGCATGTGCTAGCCAGAAGTCTTAAGAGCATCATGCCTCTTAAGAGACTTATACTGTTTGTCAAAATACATTCATTCAAGACATTGAAGTTATAGTAAAAAATTGTTTTCCTTAGTTGAGTAGATAAGCTTAAGTATTTGCCTTTTTATAAAGGAGTCCTGGTGTTGCAATGGCTAAGTGATCAACAGCTAACCAAAAGGTTAGTGGTTTGAGTCTACCAACCACAGTGAGAGAGAAGGATATGACAGTCTGCTTCTGTTATGAACAGTCTTGGAAACCCTGCAGAGCAGTTCTGCTCTACCCTAAATTTAGGTATCAAATATAAATTTTCCTGTAAACCAAATAACTCTTTAGTTCCTAAATTTTTTTTTTTTTTTTTAATGATGTCTTATTGTTAGGTGCTGTCCGCTCTTTTCCGACTCGCAGCAACCCTATGCACAGCAGAAGGAGACACTGCCTGGTTCTAGTCCATCCTCATATGTTTGAGCCCCTTGTATGTTGGAACCATTTGTTGCTGCCAATCCATCTTCATAAGGGTCTTCCTTTTATAATAGACCCATCACTTTACCAAGCATGGCTTTCTTTTCTAGGGGCTGGACCTTTCTGACAACATATACAAACTACTAGAGATGAAATCTCACAGTCCTTTCTTCTAAGGAACATTCTGGCTGTAATTCTTCCAAAACAGATTTGTTAGTTCTTCTGGAAGTCATTGGTACTTTCCATATTTTTCACCAACATCGTAATTCCAATATATCAACTCTTCTACAACATTTCATACTCATTGTCCAGCTTTCATATGCATATGAGGTGATTGAAAATACTTTGGCTTGGGTCAGTCTTCAAAGTGATATCTTTGCTCTTTAACACTTGGATTATGGATCCAAGCAAAATGAAGTCTTTGACAACTTCAGTCTTCTCCATTTATCATATTGTTATTTATTGGTCCAGTTGTGAGGATTTTTGTTTTCTTTTAGTGGAATTTACACCGTAGGCTGTAGTCTTTGATCTTTGTCAGTACTTCAAGTTCTCTTTGGAAGGTAGTGTCCACCTGCATATTGCAGGTTGTCAATGTGTCTTCCTCCAATCCTAATGCCCAATATTCTTCTTCCTATAACCCAGTTTCTCTGATTATTTCTTAGCCTAAAGATTGAATAAGTATGGTAAAAGGATACAACCTTGAAACACATCTTTCTAGATTTTGAGCCTTTCAGTATGTTCTTTTTCTGTGCTTGGTCTACATACAGGTTCTGTATGAGCACAATTAAATGTTCTAGAATTCCCATTCTTCTCATTGTTATCTATAGTTTGTTATGATCCACACAGTCAAATGCCTATGCATAGTCAGTAAAGCACAAGTAAACTTTATTCTGGTATTCTCTACTTTCAGCCAAGATCCATCTATTATCAGCAGTGATATCCCTAGTTCCACATCCTCTTCTGAATCCAGCTTGAATCTCTGGCAGTTGATTGTTGATGTACTGCTGCAACCATTTTTTAATCATCTTCAACAAAATTTTACTTGCATGTGATTTTAATGATACTGTTCAATGATTTCCACATTCCATTGGGCCACCTTTCTTTGGAAAGGGCACAGATAAGGATCTCTTCAAGACTGTTGGAAACATAAGGGTCTTCCAAGTTTATTGGCATAGATAAGTGAGCACCTCGCTGCTTCTTCAATTTGTTGAAACATAACAGTTGGTGTTTTGTAGATTCCTGTTTTGCACCAATGCCTTCAGTGCAGCTTGAACTTCTTCCTTCACACCATTGGCTTTTGATTGATCATATGCTACCTCTTGAAAGGTTGAACATCAACCATTTCTTTTTGGTACATTGACTCTATTCTTTCCACCTTCTTTTGATGTTTCTTGCATCATTCACTATTTTGACCATAGAATCCTTTGATATTGCAACTGGAGGCTTGAATTTTTATTTCAGTTCCTTCAGCTTGAGAAATGTTGAGCATGTTCTTCCCTTTTGGTTTTCGAACTCCAGGTCTTTGCACATTTCATTATAATACTTTGTCTTCTCGAGCTGCCCTTTGAAAATTTCTGTTCCACTCCCTTGGTTCATCATTTCTTCTAGTCATTCAAGAGCAAGTTTCAGAGTCTTTTCTGACATCCTTTTTGGCATTTTCTTCCTTTTCTGTCTTTTTAAAAGACCTTTTGCTTTATTCTTATATGATGTTCTTGATGTCACCCTTTGGTCTCTGATGCAACAAATCTGTTCTTGAAATGGTCTCTGAGTTCAAGTGAAATATATTCAAAGTTGTATTTGGGGTTTTTGGTTTTTTTTTTTCAAATTTTTATTGTGAGGTTTCCGTGGGAGAACATCAGCTTTACACTCATCCTATCTTATTTTGTTTCATTGCAATGATTACAGTCTCCTCCGTGCATCATCATATAACCCCAAAGGGTATACCACACAAACCTGCCCTTTCCCCGCCCCCCCTCGCCTCCCCACCACCCAGCTACCAGCACACAGCCCTTCTCCCTCCCTGAGTCCAGAGTCACCAGCCGCCCCATCTGTCCATGTCATCATCTCTGTCTCCATCCCTGGCGTCACTGCCTCTTTGGGTAGGGTCCCGCTCTCCGTTCTTCTCACTTGATGATCCCAGGGACCTCCACTCCTGGGCTGCAAAATCAATCACTC